GGTTTTCATTTTTATTTGTTTCCATGTATTTTTAAAAATTTCTTCTTTGATTTCCTGGTGGACCCATTCATTATTTTGTAGTATATAATTTAGCCTCCATGTATTTGTGGTCTTTCCAAATTTTTTTCTTGTGGTTGACTTCCAGTTTCATAGCACTGTGGTCAGAAAAGGTTCATGGTATGATTTCAATGTTTTTTATTTGTTGAGGCCTGATTTGTTACTTAATATGTAATCTATTTTGGAGATTGTTCCATGTACAATTGAAAAGAATGTGTATTCTGCTGTTTTAGGATGGAATGTTCTGAATATATCTGTTGAGTCCATCTGGTGTGTCCTTCAAAGCCACTGTTTCTCTGTTTTTCTGTTTGGATGATCTGTTCATTGATGTAAGTGCAGTGTTAAAGTCCTCTTGTATTACTGTATTACCGTCAATTAGTTTATTTTTGTTATTAACTGAATATATATTTGAATGTTCCCATGTTGAGTGCCTAAATATTTACAATTATTATATCTCTTGTTGGATTGTCCCCTTTATATTTATATTGTGTCACTTGTTACAGTTTTTGTTTTAAAGTCTATTTTGTCTAATATCAGTATTGCTACTCTAGCTTTCTTTTGGCATCCATTGTATGATAAATGTTTCTCCACTCCCTCACTTTCAATCTTCAAGTGTCTTTAGGTCTAAAATAAGTCTCTTATAGGCAGCATAAACATGCACCTTTTTTTAAATCCATTCTGTCACCCTTTGCCTTATTATTGGAGCATTTAGTCCATTTATATTCAGAGTAATTATTGATAGATATGTATTTATTGGTATTTTATTACTTGCTTTGTCATTGTTTTTGGAGATTTTCTCTATCCTTTCCTGTGTTTGTCATTTGTAGTCTCTCCTTTCCACTCAAAGAATCCCCTTTAGTATTTCTTGCAGGCCTGGGTTGGTGGTCACAAACTCCTTTAGTTTTTGTGTGGGAAACACTTTCTCTCTCCTACTATTCTGAATGATAGCCTTGCTGGATAGAGTATTTTTGGCTGCTGATTTTCCCATTCAGCACTTTGAATATGTCATGTAACTCTTGGGAAGTTTCTGCTTAAAATCTCTAGCTAGCCTTATGGGGTTTCCTTTGTATGTATGTTACTGTCTTTCTTTAATCTTGCTGCTTTTAAAATGTTTTCTTAATCACTATATTTTTGCAAATTTAATTACAATATGTGTTGGTGTTGGCCTGCTTTCATTGTTTTTGTTGGGGGTCCTCTATTCCTCCTGTATCTGTAGTCTGTTTCCTTCTTCACACTAGGAAAGTTTTCAGCTGTGACTTCCTCAAATAAATTTCCTGACCCCTTTTCTCTCCTTCTTCTATAATACAAATGTTATTATATTTGATGGAGTCACTGGGTTCCCCACTTTTGTTCTCATATTACATAATATGGAATGTTCAGCTTCATTATTTTACATTATTCTGTCTTTTATATCACTTATTCATTCTACTACTTCTTTTAGCCTTGTGTTGTTCATTGCAACCAGCCCATTTTTTTTTTTTAAGATTTTATTTATTTATTTGACAGACAGAGAACACAAGTAGGCAGAGAAGCAGGCAGAGAGAGAGAGAGAGAAGCAGGCTCTGCACTGAGCAGAGAGCCCGATGCGGGGCTCGATCCCAGGACCCTGGGATCATGACCTGAGCCGAAGGCAGAGGCTTTAACCACTGAGCCACCCAGGCGCCCCACAACCAGCCCATTTCTAATCTCAGTTATTGCATTTTTCCTTTCTGACTGATTCTTTTTTTAACTCTTGGGGTAAGAGCCTCCCTGAAGTCTTCCATTCTTTTCTTAAGCTCAGTGAGTAGTCTCATGATTGTTGCTTGCTTTAAGTTCTCCATCAGGTATGTTACTTGTATCTTTCTCACTTAGATCTCTAGCCATGGCCTTATACTGTTCTTTCATTTGGGATAAATTCCTCCATCTTTATATTTTGTCTAAGTCCTTGCCTTCTTCTCTGTGTTAGAAAAGCCAGAAACGTCTCTTGCTCCTGAAAATAATGGCCTTATGGGGAAGAAGTCATATATAGTGCTCAGGGTCTGGTACTTCAGGGGATGTCTTTGATATGTGCTGCATGTTCTCTACTGTTGTGTTCTGGCTGCTCTATCCTTCAGGCTAATTTTCTGCAGAAGCTCTCCTTGACCTCTGTGGACAGTGTTTTGTCCCTGGCCTGAGTGTGGTGGTTAACTAATAACTACATTATATTTTATTTTCATTTATTTTTATAGTGTTTATTCTGTGCTTAGATATAAAGCAATACACAGATAAGAATACACTTTCTTCCAAGTTACCCTTATATAGTTCAGAAAAAAATGATGTTTGTGATAGACACACACACATACATATATATGTGAGCTTAGAGAAAATGGTAAGACAAAAAGATAATATATGAACAAGTAATGAATCTAGGTATATATAAGCTATATGAAAATTCCTTCTGGATTTCCTTCAATTTCTCTGTAAATTTGAATTGATGGAAAAATTTTTAAAAAATTAAAATCCTATTGTACAAAAAAACTTCTACAATAACAAAAGCAACTAACAGAAAAATAAGCAAAGACTATAAATAGGTAATTCATGGAGAAAATTAAAATAGCTAATATTAAAATATGCTTAGTTCTCATTAAATATAAATAACCCTCATTCAAGAAAAAAAACATTTTTACTAACATTTATTATTTTTATTATAAAATATAAATAATTTTATATTTACATAAATAATATAAATAATGTATAATTTACCATTTAAACCATTTTTAAGTGTGTAGTTCAGTGGCACTAAGTGCATTCACACTGTGTAGTCATTACCAATGATCTTCAGAACTTTTTCATCTTGCAAAATTGAAACTCTACCCATTAAGAAGTAATTCTCCATTCCCATTTCCCCAGCTCCTGGCAACCATCATTCTACTTACTGTCTCTATGAATTTGACCATATGAGGATACTTCACTCATGTAAGTGCAATCATACACTGTTTCTCCTTTTGTGATTGGCTTACTCCACCTAGCATAATGTCTTCCATATTCATCCATGTTATGTGCTATAACATACTGTTATCAGATTTTCTTTCCTTTTCAGGCTGAATAATATTCCATCACATCCATATGCCATACTTTTTTAGTTCATTCATCACTGTTGGACACTTGAATGACTTTTATCTTTTGGCTGTTGTGAATGATGTCGCTATAAACAAAGATGCTTTCATGTCCCTGCTTTCATTCTTTTGGGCATATATCTGGAATGGGAATTGCTGAATCATTTGGTAATGCTTTATTTAATATTTTGAGGAATAACCATACTATTTTCCATAGTAGTTGTACCATTTCACATTCTTACAATTAGTAGGAATCCCAATTTCTTCATATTCTCACCAATGTTTATTTTCTTTCCTTTTTTCCTTTTTTGTCTTCATAATAGCGATCCTGGATATGAAGTGATATCTCATTGTTGTTTTGATTTTCATTTCCTTAATGAATAGTGATGTCTACCATATTTTCATGGGCCTATTGGCTATCTGTATCTCTCCTTTGGAGAAATGTCTGCTAAAGTCCTTTTTCCACTGTTTTATAAAGTTTTTTGTTTTCATTGTTGAGTCTTTAAGAGCTCTCTATATATTCTGGTTGTTAACTGCTATTCAGATATATGATTTGCAAGTTTTTTTCTCCCATTCTGTGGATTTCCCTTTTACTTTACTAACCTTGCCTCTTGATGAATAATTTTTACATTGTGATAAAATCTGTCTTTCTTTGTTTGGCTGCACCTTTGGTGTTGTACCCAACAAATTATTATCAAATAAAATGCCTTAGATTTTTCCCTACATTTTTACCTAAGACTTTTATAGCTTAGCACTTGGTTTTAGATCTTTCATCTACTTTGAACTATAAGGTAAGGTATAAGATAGGGATCTCATTTCACTCTTTAGTATGTGGATATCCAGTTTCTCCAGTACCAAATTCTCCTTTCCCCATTGAATGGTCTTGGTATCCTTGCCAAAAGTCATTTGACCATATATGTGGTGCTTTCTTTGTTCTCTATCCTCTATCCTTATTTTGTATGTCCGTCTTTATGCCAGTACCACACTGTTTTGCTTACTGTTGCTTTGTAGTAAGTTTCAAAATAATGAAGTGTGAGTCCTCCAGCTTTGTTATTTTTCAAGATTATTTTGATTATTCAGGATCCTTTAAGATTCCATATGAATTTTAGCATAGAATTTTTTTATTCTTTAGAAAACATTCCTGAGATTTTGACAGGTATCACACTGAATCTGTAGAACACTTTGTATAGTATTGATATCTTAACAATATAAAATGTTTCGATCTATGAAAAGTCTAGTGCTGGCTATGATGCTGGGATACGAGTCTTTCATGAATTTACAAGCAGAATTAACTATGATCATTTGAAAAGTAATTTGATTTATATATTAAATAAAAAACATAGATACCTTTAATACATGTTTACATGCTCTATTTTATAGAAATATAATCTCCATGGTGTGTATATATACACACACACACACACACACATGGTGAAATTTATTGTACCATTGCCAATAACAGCAAAAAGTACATTGATAAAAATCTAAATGTAATTCAGTAGAAGAATGGTGAATAAAATATAGCACATTCACATTATAGAATACCATAAAGCAACTTAAAGGTATGATATAAAAAAGAAATCTATATTACCAATTTATCTATATTGGAGGTAAGTAGGATCCATCCAAATGATTCTATTATGTATAGAACCAGCAAACTTAACATATATAGTTGTGTGTCTGTGTATGTGTGTGTGTGTGCGTAACACATGTTTAAAGAAAGCTTTAGAAAAATATACTTGACTCATTGACTCATGGTTGTCTGGGAAAGGGAGTCCATAGGTTTAAGGTGATTGGCAAATAGAAACAATGGAAACACAGTATAAAGTTTTATTTCATTTGTCTTTATATAGCAGTGATTTTTTTTACCTTCATAGATAGGTTTTCTAGTTGTAGAGATTATAGAAGGCAGAGTATTCGTAAATCCAACATGTTTTTTTGAGATAGAATTTTTTGGATGCCCTAAAAAATGAAAATAACAATATTATCTTAGAAATGTCCTGATTTTAACTTTTAAACATTTATAATAAATCTTAACCCACTTCTAAAGCACAGTTTCCTTAAATTTTAAAAAATAATTTAGAAGACCTTTACTAACACACTTATTTTCTCTCTTGTTTTTCCTTGTTGGTCATTTGATATTTATAAACAAAACCAGTAAGAGTGCAAATCCAGAAAAAGAAATAATAGAAATAGTGTATGTAAAAATACCTGAGGAAGAGCTTTTTTTAAGTATTACAATAAAAAACTACTTTAACAATTAAATTGATAAATTCTCATATAAAATTTTTATATAAAACAGAATATCTTTAAAAAATTTTATATAACCACAGTGAAAAAACTAGTGCTCGTGGTTTCTAAACAGACATGTTTAGAAATACTATCATCATGATACATATTTTGAACACTGTTAAAAACAAAATAATGTAATAAAGAAAATAGTTTCAGTATGTTCAAGAAAAATATGCTAAAATAAAAAGCAGAATGTGGGACATTTAGATGATGTTTTCTCAAAGTTACTGGGGAAAATTTACTAAATTAATGTGTTGAATTTCTACAATATATGTCTTACAGAGAAATAAAACATTTTGAATTCTTCCATTTCCTTAAGGCAAGTGTTTGCTTAAGAAATGTTTATGTCATTATTTTTAGATTAAAAGGCTTGATTATTTGATGAAAAATAAAAACATTATGATAGAATCATTTCTATTCCATCCACAAAAAAGATTACTATTACTATTCTCTTATGAATAGAAATTTAGATCGTAGATTATTCAGACTATTTCTTAGTTCTTATTCTCTTCCTCTTTTTTGTTTCTTTAGGCAACATTACTGCTTATAATTAACACCCCCATCAAAGAGAAAGCTGTAGCTTAGGAAAAAAAAAAATGGGGGCACTTGGGTGGCTCATCGATTAAGCATCTGCCTTCAGCTTTGGTCATGATCCCAGGGTCCTGGGATCAAGCTCCATGTTGAGCTCTCTGCCCAGAGGGGGAATCTGCTTCTCCTTCTCTCACTGATTCTGCTCCTGCTTTCTCTTTCTCTCAGTCTCTAATGCACGTGCTCGCTCTCTCTCTAATAAATAAATAAAAATCTTGAAAGGAAACCCTAACTTGTAGGTAAACTAGGAGCTAAATGAATGGAAAACAGTATTATAGGTGATATGAAGTAGGTGAATCTGACATTGTCTGGCAGTTAGTAGGAAGGCAAAGATAGCTTATCTGAACATAAAGAGCATATTATAATTAATTTTTCTAATTTCAGAGAAGACTTATTTGCCCAATCTGCCTTACTTCAGTTAATAGTCAAATTTATTTTATTTCTGAGGGGCGCCTAGGTGGCTCAGTGGGTTAAGCCTCTGCCTTTGGCTCAGGTCATGGTCTCAGAGTCCTGAGATCGAGCCCTGCATCAGACTGTCTGCTCAGCAGGGAGCCTGCTTCCCTCTCTCTCTCTGCCTACTTGTGATCTCTGTCAAATAAATAAAATCCTTTAAAAAATTTATTTTATTTCTGAATTACACTTCCACAGAATGGGAAAAGGCAACCAATGGGTATAATGGTAAGAGATAAAGATGCAGAGTTAGAAAGACAAACTGGTGAAAGTATTGGTAGTATATATAATTATTTGGGGCTTTAGAAAATATAATAGGCCAAATAATAATCTACATTAAAAAAAAAAACCTTTGAACTCAGTATCTATGGGAAATACAGTAGGGTAATGATTAGATAATGCCTCTGGAGCAATGATAAGGAATGGATTCTCTAAATTAGTTCCTAGATATTAATGGATTAGATACCTGGGGAGATAGTAATGAAGGGAAAGGGAAAACATGTTTATTTTCCTTCCAATCTACTCTCATGTTGAGTCTCTGTATTGCAGATCCTACTTGGGATTGTACAAAAAGGGAATATATAAATCTAAAACAGAGGATTATAAAATGGGTTTATCATAATGGTGAGCAAGAATGGAAGGTTGAGTGGGACACCTGGGTGGCTTATTCAGTTAAGCATTTGACTCAAGTCATGATCTCAGGGTCCTCAGATTGAGACCCACATGGGTCTCCCCACTCAGCAGGGTGTCTACTTGAGATTCTTTCCTTTGCCCCTCCCCCTGCTCAATGTGTATTCTCTTTTTCTCTCTCTCAAATAAATAAATCTTTAGGGGAAAAAAAAGGAAGGAAGGAAGGTTGTGAAAAAACATGGAGCTCCAATTTATTGGTGGCAGGGAAGAAGAGCTATGCCAGGGACACTACTCATTCACTAAGAATGCATACATGTTAGGTAAGCTTAATCAGTGTTTATTTTCACTTATGGTTAGCAAAACTGGTTATATGACTAAGGATAGTATGATCTGGTTATTTCCACACAATTAAAGTTTTACTAATTTAAAAAAATCACATTGTACATTACCTGAAGTTTCTTTATTCAACGAAGGAAGCTGGATGGCTTTATAAATGATTGACCCAGCCCTGGAGGTTCTATGATTTGCTTTTGGAGGTTCAGTCACATGGGGTGAAGTGTACTCATAAGGTTCTTCTAGAAATATTTAGAAAATACGCTAGCTATAAGATGGATTACATTTGTAACTGATTTTGATACACAGTAAGTTAGCTGCCAATAAAATGGAAATAACTAAAAATGTTTTGAGATGATTAATTTCACTAATAAAGAAATACACATTAAGAAGGATAGTTTTAGAGATCAGAACTAAGTAAAAAAATTCACCAAGACCACCTATTATAAATTCCATTTCTATGAAATGTCCAGTGTATGGAAATTTATAGAGACAGAAATTAGATTAGCAGATTATGGCTTGGAGTGTGACAATTTCTCTTTCACACAGTGAAAATATTCTAAAATAAAACATGATGATGAAAGCATAACTCTGTGAATGTACTAAAAACCACTGAATTACACACTGTAAATGAATGAATTGTATGGTATGTGAATTATATATTGATAAAGCTATTAAATTAACATCTGAGGGGTGCCTGGATGGCTCAGTGGGTTAAGCCTCTGCCTTCAGCTCATGTCATGATCTCAGGGACCTGGGATCGAGCCCCACATCAGGCTCTCTGCTGGGCAAGGAGCCCGCTTCCCCCTTTCTCCACCTGTCTCTCTGCCTACTTGTGATCTCTCTCTCTCTGTCAAATAAACAAAATCTTTAAAAAAAAATGACATCTGATTTTCTATCACAAACAATGAAGGCCAGAAGCCAGTGGGATGACATATTAAAAACTCTGAAAGCAAAAATTCACAACCAAGAATTTAATACTCAGCAAAATTATTATTCAAAAATAATAATAGGTAGGAGGAGGAGTCAAGATGGCAGAGAAGTAGCAGCTGAGACTACTTCAGGTAGCGGGAGATCAGCTAGATAGCTTATCTAAAGATTGCAAACACCTACAAGTCCAACGGGAGATCGAAGAGAAGAAGAACAGCAATTCTAGAAAAGAAAATCAACCACATTCTGAAAGGTAGGACTGGCGGAGAAGTGAATCCAAAGCGACGGGAAGATAGACCACGGGGGGAGGGGCGGGCTCCCGGCAAGCGTTGGAGCAACGGAGCACAAAATCAGGACGTTTAAAAGTCTGTTCCCCTGAGGGACATCACTCCAGAGGCTTAACCGGGGTGAATCCCACGCGGGGTGAGCGTGGCCTCAGGTCCCGCAGGGTCGCGGAAGGATCGGGGGTGTCTGAGTGTCACAGAGCTTACAGGTATTAGAACGGGGAAGCCGGCTACAGAGAAAGAGCCGAGGAGTGAGCTCTAAGCTTGGGGTTACCTTGAGCCGGTCGCAGGCTCGGTCAGCTTGGAGCGCGGCCGGAGGCCAGGGTGATGGGAGTAATTGGGCGCTGTTCTCTGAGGGCGCACTGAGGAGGGGGGCCCCGGGCTCTCGGCTGCTCCGGGCTGGAGCCTGGGAGGCCGCCATCTTCATTCCCGTCCTCCGGAACTCTACGGAAAGCGCTCAGGGAACAAAAGCTCCCGAAAGCAAACCCGAGCGGATTACTCAGCCCAGGCCCCGGTAAGGGCGGTGCAACTCCGCCTGGGGCAAAGACACTTGAGAATCACTACAACAGGCCCTTCCCCCAGAAGATCAACAAGAAACCCAGCCAGGACCAAGTTCACCTACCAAGGAGTGCAGTTTCAATACCAAGGAGAGCAGCGGAATTCCGGAGGAGGAGAAAGCGAAGCACGGAACTCATGGCTTTCTCCCCATGATTCTTTAGCCTTGCAGTTAATTTAAATTTTTTTTCTTTTTCAATTTTTTTTCTCTTCTTCTGATAATTTTTTTTAACTTTTACCCTTTTCTTTTTTAACGTTTTTTAACTAGTTTATCATATATATATATTTTTTTTTCCTTTTTATATTTTTTCATTATTGGTTTTCTTTTTTTAATTGTTTCTTTCTTTCTTTTTTTTTTCTGAACCTCTTTTTATCCCCTTACTCCCCCCTCACGATTTGGGATCTCTTCTGATTTGGCTAAAGCATATTTTCCTGGGGTTGTTGCCACCCTTTTAGTATTTTACTTGCTCCTTCATATACTCTTATCTGGACAAAATGACAAGGCGCAAATATTCACCACAAAAAAAAAAAGAACAAGAGGTAGTACCAAAGGCTAGGGACCTAATCAATACAGACATTGGTAATATGTCAGATCTAGAGTTCAGAATGACGATTCTCAAGGTTCTAGCCAGTCTCGAAAAAGGCATGGAAGATATTAGAGAAACCCTCTCGGGAGATATAAAAGCCCTTTCTGGAGAAATAAAAGAACTAAAATCTAACCAAGTTGAAATCAAAAAAGGTTCTAATGAGGTGCAATCAAAAATGGAGGCTCTCACTGCTAGGATAAGTGAGGCAGAAGAAAGAATTAGCAATATAGAAGACCAAATGACAGAGAATAAAGAAGCTGAGCAAAAGAGGGACAAGCAGTTACTGGACCACGAGGGGAGAATTCGAGAGATAAGTGACACCATAAGACGAAACAACATTAGAATAATTGGGATTCCAGAAGAAGAAAGAGAGAGGGGAGCAGAAGGTATATTGGAGAGAACTATTGGAGAGAATTTCCCCAATATGGCAAAGGGAACAAGCATCAAAATCCAGGAGGTTCAGAGAACCCCCTTCAAAATCAATAAGAATAGGTCCACACCCTGTCACCTAATGGTAAAATTTACAAGTCTTAGTGACAAAGAGAAAATCCTGAAAGCAGCCCGGGAAAAGAAGTCTGTAACATACAATGGTAAAAATATTAGATTGGCAGCAGACTTATCCACAGAGACCTGGCAGGCCAGAAAGAGCTGGCATGATATATTCAGAGTACTAAACGAGAAAAACATGCAGCCAAGAATACTATATCCAGCTAGGCTATCATTGAAAATAGAAGGAGAGATTAAAAGCTTCCAGGACAAACAAAAACTGAAAGAATTTGCAAACACCAAACCAGCTCTACAGGAAATATTGAAAGGGGTCCTCTAAGCAAAGAGAGACCCTAAAAGTAGTAGATCATAAAGGAACAGAAACAATATACAATAACAGTCACCTTACAGGCAATACAATGGCACTAAATTCGTATCTCTCAATAGTTACCCTGAATGTTAATGGGCTAAATGCCCCAATCAAAAGACACAGAGTATCAGAATGGATAAAAAAACAAAACCCATCTATATGTTGCCTACAAGAAACTCATTTTAAACCCGAAGACACCTCCAGATTTAAAGTGAGGGGGTGGAAAAGAATTTACCATGCTAATGGACGCCAGAAGAAAGCAGGAGTGGCAATCCTTATATCAGATCAACTAGATTTTAAGCCAAAGACTATAATAAGAGATGAGGAAGGACACTATATCATACTCAAAGGATCTGTCCAACAAGAAGATCTAACAATTTTGAATATCTATGCCCCTAACGTGGGAGCAGCCAACCATACAAACCAATTACTAACAAAATCAAAGAAACACATCAACAATAATACAATAATAGCAGGGGACTTTAACACTCCCCTCACTGAAATGGACAGATCATCCAAGCAAAAGATCCACAAGGAAATAAAGGCCTTAAATGACACACTGGACCAGATGGACATCACAGATATATTCAGAACATTTCATCCCAAAGCAACAGAATACACATTCTTCTCTAGTGCACATGGAACATTCTCCAGAATAGATCACATCCTCAGTCCTAAATCAGGTCTCAACCGGTATCAAAAGATCGGGATCATTCCCTGCATATTTTCAGACCACAATGCTCTGAAGCTAGAACTCAATCACAAGAAGAAATTTGGAAAGAACCCAAATACATGGAGACTAAACAGCATCCTTCTAAAGAATGAACGGGTCAATCAGGAAATTAAAGAAGAACTGAAAAAATTCATGGAAACAAATGATAATGAAAACACAACGGTTCAAAATCTGTGGGACACAACAAAGGCAGTCCTGAGAGGAAAATATATAGCGGTACAAGCCTTTCTCAAGAAACAAGAAAGGTCTCAGGTACACAACCTAACCCTACACCTAAAGGAGCTGGAGAAAGAACAAGAAAGAAACCCTAAACCCTGCAGGAGAAGAGAAATCATAAAGATCAGAGCAGAAATCAATGAAATAGAAACAAAAAAAACAACAGAACAAATCAACGAAACTAGGAGCTGGTTCTTTGAAAGAATTAACAAGATTGATAAACCCCTGGCCAGACTTATCAAAAAGAAAAGAGAAAGGACCCAAATAAATAAAATCATGAATGAAAGAGGAGAGATCACAACAAACACCAAAGAAATACAGACAATTATAGGAACATACTATGAGCAACTCTACGCCAACAAATTTGACAATCTGGAAGAAATGGATGCATTCCTAGAGACATATAAACTACCACAAGTGAACCAGGAAGAAATAGAAAGCCTGAACAGACCCATAACCAGTAAGGAGACTGAAACAGTCATCAAAAATCTCCAAACAAACAAAAGCCCAGGGCCAGACAGCTTCCCGGGGGAATTCTATCAAACATTTAAAGAAGAACTAATTCCTATTCTCCTGAAACTGCTCCAAAAAATAGAAATGGAAGGAAAACTTCCAAACTCATTTTATGAGGCCAGCATCACCTTGATCCCAAAACGAGACAAGGATCCCATCAAAAAAGAGAACTACAGACCAATATCCTTGATGAACACAGATGCAAAAATTCTCACCAAAATACTAGCCAATAGGATTCAATAGTACATTAAAAGGATTATTCACCACGACCAAGTGGGATTTATTCCAGGGCTGCAAGGGTGGTTCAACATCTGCAAATCAATCAGTGTGATACAACACATTAATAAAAGAAAGAACAGGAACCATATGATACTCTCAATAGATGCTGAAAAAGCATTTGACAAAGTACAGCATCCCTTCCTGATCAAAACTCTTCAAAGTGTAGGGAGAGAGGGCACATACCTCAATATTATCAAAGCCATCTATGAAAAACCCACCGCAAATATCATTCTCAATGGAGAAAAACTGAAAGCTTTTCCGCTAAGGTCAGGAACACGGCAGGGATGTC